GAATAATGGTAGGCACCTTTGGAACATATCCATGTTTCGGGTAAGAATGCCTTGGCCATCCCCGGTGCACTCAAGGCAGGTGGGGACCGAAAGGGCCTGAAGGTCTGACTCTAATAGGGACGAAATAGCTAGCAGAAAATAGTCTTAAAAGAAAGGAACTTCTCTGAGACCAAATCTAAGGGCTCGAAGGGAGCCCCAGATAGGCCTTCTAGAACTATTGCAAGGTCCCAAGCCAGCACCCTAGTGCAAGTTGCAGGCCTCAGCCTCAAAGTGCCACGAAGGAAACGAGTGATCAGGGGGTCTCGACCCAAAAATGTACTACCCACCAGGGCGTGGAAAGCCGCAATGGCCGCCACGTATACCTTAAGCGTGGAAGGACATAGACCTGATACAAAGCGTTCTTGCAGAAACTCGAATACTGTGTTTACTGACCAGTTAACCGGATCCCACTGACGCTGGTAACACCAAGAAGTGAAAAACTCTCGAAATAGTGAATATAGTTTCCTCGTAGCGGGAGCTCTGGAGCTTAGAATGGTCTCAACAACCTCGGTTGAGAGACCACTCTCTATGTGTTGGGCCCCCTCAGAGGCCAAACCCACAGTTTCCAAATCCCCTGCCGGGGGTGCAATATTGCATCCCCTGCCTGAGACGGAAGGTCTCTCCTGATCGGGACCTCCAAGGGAGGTCCGTCGAGGAGAAAAATTAGGTCCGCAAACCAAATTCAGCTCGGCCAGGGTGGTGCTACTAAATAGGCTTATTCAATCCTGGCGGAATCACTCCAGAACTCCTGGGAGCAGAGCAACAGGGGGAAATGCGTACAGACGTAGCCTCAGCCACGTCTGCACCATAGCAACCAGCCCCGAGGGGACTGGTTGAGTGAGGGATAACCAGAGTGGACAGTGCGTCGTATGCTGAGACGAGAACAAATCCACTTCTGCCTGGCCATAAAACTCCCATATTTGCTCCACCGCCTCGGGGTGGAGTCCCCTGGCCTCAGCCCCTGCCTCGACAGGGTGTCTGCTCCAATATTCTGGCCCCCCTGGAATATACACTGCCCTCAGACAGCGTAATTTCCCGAGGGACCAAAATAATAGGCCACCAACGTGTTGTCTGTGGGTCAAGAACCAGAGTTTCCTCCATATAACCAAGGCGCGGGGATACTGCCGCGTGATCTTGATCGTACGGAGTGGGTTTCCCCTCAGGGAGAACCCTCTGGTCCTGAGCCACCACTGTAAAGGTCTCACGTACAGCAGGTCAAAGGGTATCACATTGAACGCTGCTGCCCTGAGGCCTAACAGTCACTGTTTCAGAACAACACATGATGGCCCCTCAGGTCTGGGAGGAGATGTCTCAACGCATTGAAGACGACCATCATCTCTAGGCAATTCATGTGCCAAGCGAGATGATGACTCCTCCCAAGCCCTGAGCTGAGCGGCCTTCCAATACCGCTCCCCAGCCGGTGAGGGAAGCATCTGTCGAGATAGCAACTCGATGGCAAAGAGCTCCCAACACCGGACCCTGGGTTAAGAACCAGTGTTTCCTCCATATAACCAAGGCACGAAGGCACCGCCGCGTGATCTTGATCATACGAAGTGGGTTTCCCCTCAGGGAGAACCCTCTGGTCCTGAGCCACCACTGCAAAGGTCTCATGTACAGCAGGCCAAAAGGTATCCCGTTGGACGCTACTGCCACAAGACCCAACAGTCTCTCGAACTGTTTTACAGTGCGTGACTGGCCTAGCCTCAGCTCTTTTGTGGCTGTTAGGAGAGCAGCTACACGAACGGGCGACAGAGTGGCCCGCATCGTCACTGAATCCCATACCACACCAAGGAAAGTGGTTCTCTGTACTGGAGAAAGCACACTCTTCTTGGCATTGAGCCTCAACCCCAACATCTGCATATGAGCGAGAACGACACCTCGGTGCCGAACCGCTAACTGTTCTGATTCCGCTAGAATCAGCCAGTCATCTATGCAATTCAGAATGCGTATACACTGCAGCCTGGCGGGGCCAGAGCTGCGTCTATACACTTCGTGAATGTGCGGGGTGATAGAGCTAGACCGAAAGGAAGTGCCTGATACTGGTGTTCTTTGCCCCAAAGAAAACCTCAGGAACCTCCTGTGCTGAGGGAGGATGGAGATATGGAAGTATACGTCTTTTAGATCTATCGTGACAAACCAGTCCTCGGATCTGATTTGAGTCACGATCTGTTTGAGTGTCAGCATCTTGGACTTGAGTTCCAGCACCAAACACTCCAACAGACGAAGATCTAGTATGTGACGCTGCTCTCCATCCTTTTTTGGAACAATGAGATAACGACTGTAAAGACCCGACGCAATGTCGGGTGAGTACACCTGCTCTATAGCTTTCTTTGCTAACAGGGCCTTTACCCCTTGCTCCATTACCAGAGAGATTACCATTACCCATAGAGATATATTTGGCAGTAGCTTCCGCGCTGCCAGAAAATCTACCAAGGGAACCAGCCCCTCGAGGCTGGCCTCTGGTGTAATAAAGACAGCCAGTTCGGGGACCTGAAACATACTGGCAGGAACCACCCGAACTGACTGTTTTCGAACCCCCCTCAGAGGGCGCGAGTCCGACGCAATGTCGAGTTGACGCTGCGCCAGAAGCTCGCTGGAGAACGCTGCGCCCCGAAGCACCAAGGGTGGCGGGGTTGGCAGAACGGTCCCCTGAGGGCACAGAGATGGAAAGGGCACCGTATAATGAGGTGTACACCATTCCACCCCGGTTGGGGCTGCCCTCACCGGTCTGACGCCGTGGCGCCAGACCTTTTCTTTTGAGCCGCAGCCTTCTCAGCATGAAGAACGGTCCTCGGATCCGGCTTCTGCTTTGAAGGCTTTGGCTGCTGTGTTGTGTATGAGAAACTAGCCGGCTGGAGCTGCTCACGCCCAGCAGCCCCAGTGGGTTGGACATAGCGAGGGAGAGATTATCTTGTATCTTTCTCCATGATTCCCATCAAATTGAGCCAGAGGTGTCTCTCAGTGACCACATTTCTTTGGCTGCCATCCCTGAGAGATAAATCTGAGGCCCGACGGAGTTCTCAAACCCCATCGGGCCAAACTCCCTCACTTCTGTCCAAATACCACAGCAGGTCAGCCTGATATGCTTGCAGCACTGCTATAGTGTGCAAGCAGGCTTGTGCTAGACCCACTGCCATATATGCTTTTCCCACTAGATTAAAAAATAGTTTTCTTTAATGGTTTAGTGAGAGAAGCCGACGGCTTCAGGGACGATACTGAACCGGGGGACATAGCTCGCAAGTGTCTGTTCTACCCGGGGTATTGCCCCATAGCCATACTCTCTTAACCCCCAAATATCTGAATATACATGAATGTGGGGCTAAAAAATGAGTAAGGCTTTTTCCATGATCTAGACAGCTCGCTGTGCAGATCGGGAAAAATGGAAGGCCCCGTGATGGAGGTGGAAAAATAGAGGGAAGGAAACTCGTTCAATTTATTTTAAGGACGAGTGCCCCCTTATTTCTGCTGGCCATTAAATATTTAATTTATCTACAGCCTTAGTAAACACCTCCACCAGCTTATTATTATATATATATATTTTTTATATACATTCTTTATATATATACACTTTATTTTATATACAATATATAAACTATCATATATATATATATATATATATAGGCTATATATAATTCTCATACGCTGGGGAAGAGATGGCAAATCCACTTCCCCCATGATTGTGTACACTTTCAATGCCCAGCACATCTACCTCCTCGGAGGTAGAGCACTGAAGCATTGATTTCTCTCCCCGGGCGGAAGAGACCGCAGCGCGGGCTTCCGAGACCGGAGAGAGAGCACTGGAACCCTCGTGGAAAGGGAGGAGATAAGATCCGCGGACCCGTCTCCAACCCCGTAACGAGATCCTATTCGCGATCCACAGGAATGCATTCTCCGCGCTGCCTCGGCAGACGCGTGTCCTGCACCCCGAGGATCGCGAGCCTGGCCACTTTCCTCGAAAAGTGACAGGCGGGAGTGGAGCATGCGAAGCGAAAGCTTCTCATAATGTTGCAATCAGCCCCCTCGGAGGCTGATACCGCATGCTCCACTCCCAAACAAACTACACAAAGCTCGTGTGTGTCCCCACCCGTAAAATAACGCGGGCAGGGAGAAGCACAGAGTTTGTAAAGTTGTTTCGCCATAACTCTTCCCAATAATATCGAACAGACAACAATAAATAGACAGAGACAGAGTAACACAGATCGCTTGCTGAGACACAGAAGCTAATGCCGCGTTTCACCGGATGTGCTCTTATGCCTTCCTGGTCATGACGTCACCCGCCCGTGACGCTCATTCTTTCCATTGGACTAGTTGACATTGATGCTCAGACGCATTCACGCTGGGGGCGTTCCCAAAGCGTCAAGTGACGCATCGCGAGTTCCCTCGAAAGGGAACTGGTTCAATGACCCAACCAAATGGCCAGAGGTGTTGTCGTATATGTTGCATACTATAACTCCATAAAAAGGGCTGGTTTTATCTTCCAAGAGACCTTAGTGACATCAAAAGTGAAATCGAATCTAAAACAAGAATAGTTTTGAGACGGTGTACATTTCGAAACACAGAATAAAGTGACATTTACTAAATAATTAAGTTAACTTGAACTCAATGAAACTGTTGCCCTCGGTTCTAAGAACAGCACGATTCTCTTCTGATGGACGTAAAAGACCTACAGCGATATGAAGAATTAAACAGGCCTTCATTAATCTGTGCTGCAATGCCTTTGTGAGCTGTATCACGAAAAGGCGAACCTCTCTGACATCCTTCAAAAGACTAATCAGTCCTAATAGCTCCCCTCTCAAAGGAGCTACTTTTTGATCAGAAGATGATGGCATGACACAAGGTGAATAAAATGCCAAAGGCAATGCCATAGAAAGGCTTTGAGCAGAGCGGTGAGTTCAACTCAATAGAATGCAAAAGACCATGTGTTAAATATAACAACCACCCAAAAATCAACTATTCCTCACCTGTCTTGGGGTCAACAGAAAAGTAGGGCTGCCCATGAAGGATGCTGTACACAATCCGCGCGCTGTTTCCATAAGTGGGGTCATCAGCGTCAGTGGCGGTTATTTGCGTCACACATGTGCCTGATCATGAAAGAGACCATACGAATTTCCACATGCAAAAAAATAATGATGAATACAGACTATATTAATAATAATAATGATACTTCCCTTAAAAGAAAAGCTAAATGATCATACTGCAATTGTAATAGGCATGCATTGTGTAACAGATTTATGTTTGTCTCAATTTGTTTAATCATGTGTCAGCCAGAGGAGAAATGACTCCTTGCTGAGTCTTGGATCCTCCAAGGGTTTCTTCCACATCAGCTTAAATATCTCAGAGAGTTTTTCCTTGTCAGTGTCGCTTATGGCTTGCTCACTGGAAGTTGTAAAGCAGTATACTTTGTAAAGCTGCTTCAGAACAACGTTTATTAAAAGCAGTATACAAAGATAAATAATGATATCTTTAATATACATTTCTACTTCACATTAGATTCCACTATCTAAATATGAATATATGAAGAGCAGAAGAATGACATAGCACAAAGGCATTTGCTCTCATTCTTTGCATTTGTAGTCCAAATGCTGCATTTAATGTTTCATGAAATTAAGTTGGTATGAAAAAAAAAATAATCACAAAATATATTTTATAAATGCATGTATATTGTTCATTCATCATGAATATGTTTTTTCTCTTCTTTTTGTGACCTCGTAATGTTTAAGCAAAATGTCATAACTCGACCTTCAGGAAAAAACAATTCTCTGGTGATGTATGCCAGACTTCTCTAATAATTTAGTTCGCTTAAACCCCAACCCTTCACAATCGACTGCAAGTTTGCATTCTTTTCAGTGCAGTGCCCACATTATAAAATCCAATCAACAATTAATTGATAGAACCAAGTCCTCACCCATTTTTTTTCTTCTTTTTGGATAATTTGTAACACAGATGTGTTGCTACTTCTGTTTCATAACAAATTAAAGCAGTAGCCTATATATACATTGCTTATTTGTCATACTTTTTTAACTAACCAAATCATATCATTCTTGCAAATGTACACTATTAAAAAAATATGAGTATAGGCTGCATAGATGTTCATCTAATTGCACTAGGGTGCTAATCTAAAAATGGCCTTGAAAGTGATCAATTCGAAATGATGTTTAGAAATATAATAGTCAGAATAATTGAGAATTGTGAATGCTTAGGGGAAATGCAGTGTTCAACAGCATTTGGGATTAGTTGTCTGGCCAGCTGGTCTCCCAGCCTGGACAGCTGAAAAGTGCCCAAAAGCCTTCTAAAACAATCAAAACAGACCAGCTTAACCAGCTTGGCCAGGCTGGGAGACCGACTAGCCACCTTAGGCTGGTTTAAGCTGTTTTTGCAGCAGGGATAAATCATTCAGTGCAGTTAATTACTAGCAGCAACAGACTAATGTCTAACATCTTTCACTGACCTTGAATATGTATGTGAACAATAAAGAAGAAGAGTTCAGATCATCACATCAAGACGTACTTAAAAGCAACATGCTTTGAGGCCAGGATTTTCCCTCAGTATCAAACACCCAACCATCTGGGACATAATGAGAAGTGAACTCACCGATGGGTGACATCTCTGGGATGCTGGCTGAGTATGGGCCCTCCAGGAACTTTGGCTCATTGTCATTGATGTCCTGGACTTTGATAATAAACTCTGACTCTGGCTCTAAGGGTCTGCCCGTGAACACGTCCACAGCCTGCGCTCTCAGTGTGTAATAAGGCTTCTCTTCTCTGTCCAGGCTCCTTAAGGCATGGATGTCTCCAGTGCTCGGCTCGATGGTGAAAATAGAGCCAACTCCTTCACCTGAGAGAGTGTACTTCACCATACTATCTCCCTTATCCAGGTCAGAGTGAAGCTGAAATGTGAAAAGAGACGATGAGATATCTCACTGGGAGCTGGTGAGTAAATTATTACTAATTACCATAATTTAACTGTAAACAAATGCAAATATGCAAATACAAAATCAGCAAACAAAAGCAGGAGACACTTGTGTTACAAGAATCATTTTTAAACACAAATGTAGCATATCCAATGCGAATTGTATTTTAATCCATTTACTTACAGTAAATCAGATTTGGCCTAACCAAACCAATCCTATTTCAATCTCTGATCATGTGACTACATGTCGGCTAACATATGGGTGGCATATCATTACCCATACAGTTTGAGCATGTCCAAAGAGGATTGATGTGGATAACCTTCATTATTAATTTTCTGTTAGTTGCTCAACAGCACGGATATTCTTCAGCTGAAAATATGATGGCTTTACTGGAGGTTTTATAGAATCTCCTTTTTTCAGACAAGATAAAAAAAAAACTACTAAATAAAGGATTACAAAACATAAGGATCCTAAGATAATAAAGTGTTGAGGGAAACCGTTATCTTTTCAACTCAGAGGAAGCGTAAGGAAACACCACATTTATCAACTGGCGAAACAGAGTTTGATCCTCTGACTGGAAAGGAAGGATAGTTTGAAGTTATCGAATTAATACTCTGAAGTGAAAAACAAATCACTGATATAATGTGAAAGGATGCAAAATTATCAAAATGGAAGAAGAACTGTACTGCTAAATCCTGCCATGTTCCTGCATGGCAGGGTAGCTAATAATAAAAGTACATTAGATCGGGAACAGGCCATCAAATGATTCACATTAGCAGATAGTAGATAATCCATGAGCTTCAACCCAGGATTGAACGAGCTAATCTGTGTCAAGTTACAGTTCATTACAGTTCAATATCACTAATCTTTTATGAATGCCAATGAGGCCAATGAATTAAGAATACACTATCCTAAAATGGTGACCGCCAATGGCTGTATAACCGTACATGGTCTCACAAAATGTGTTTAGAGGTAAGGACAATCCTTGGAGTGTTGACAGTAAAATACCCAGAAAAAAGGCAAGGCTATCAAGAAGAGTTATTTTCGACTGAAAAGGTCATACTTGGAAAGAAAATGTGACAGTGGGGTAATATATCCTCACTGCAAAGGGCAAACAAGAAGTGTTCCTTGCTTCACATGGAAAAATAAAGACAAAAAGAAAACTTGCAGACACATTTGATATAGTAAATTGGTACATTTCTCAGCATTAAAGAAATATCAAGAGTTGAGAAATTATCTGATTGCTGGAATTAAAAAGATTGCTATTCTTAATCCACTTTAGTGTAATTGTTGGTGTATCTGCAATAATAACTGTAATTTATTCAAAAAATAATTGTAGTAACTCTGCAAAACATTCAAATTAGATTCCAATTAAAGGCTTTCTTGGATTCTGAACCACATTATTTGACCACAACCAGCAAATAGGCCATTCGGACTGTTACACCAGTTAGCACACCAAGTTATATGATCTAGTATTTTTCTACAATTGGCTCCTACTGAGAAAGAAGCAATCGTTTAACTGAACACTCAACATTCTCAATCATTTATTCAGACTGACCCATTCATTTTTAATCAGGATATAACTGAATTGAGAGAAGCCTAAAATGCACAATGCACAGTGTTAACACAAAGCGCACAATGAATTTTCCCCTTGCACATTCCCTTTTTTTTTTTTTTTTTTGCTCTAAGTAAACTTTTCCTGTCATGTAACTTTGATGTAACATTTCATGTGAGGTGTCACTTTAATTGTGACAGCAGCTCAAACATTATGTGATGGACTGTGTTATAATTTCCCATGGTGCCAGCTCTGATCACAGTCTTCCACTACTAATAATTACAGCTATGGGAGGTGTGAAGCCACAATTGCAAAGTTTAAAGTGTTATTATCTAATGAAAATGTACTGGGACCTACAATCTGAAGTTTGCAGTGTGTCAGGCAGTGAATATAAACTTCCTTCACACATCAGTGCTGGGGAATAACTAACACTACTAAATGAACTGCACAAATTTACCTACATTTTCGCAACAATTATTCGATTATTATTAGCTTTAAACCAATAATCAAACAGGCTCTCTTGCATTGTTTCATTTTAAACGCCAGTTTCATCTTATTAATTTTATTCACATGGTTGAAAATTATAAAATAACAGTGATTATAAAATATTAACAACTGTTAACAATTTCTCTTTAAATAGCAGCTTGCTCATTTGATGCTAACATGCGCATCATCCATGCAATGCATACGTAGCCTAAGCCATATTCTTCCAGTGACCCAAGTTAAAGGAGGTAATAGCCAACAAAGTTTTTTTATAGTGACAGGATATCATGTTTGTTTGCAATTAAAGCTTTATTAGCTCTTTCTACAGCTGTTCTCAGGTTATATAAATCAGAGGTTACAAAGGCTCTTCCATGACATTTGACTGATCTTGAGTGAAGAAGAGCGAGTTGTTTTTCAATGTGTTGCAGCCACAGAAGTAGAGGTGGCATGTGTGGTTGTGAACACGCCTGTGACAATCCCCAGTCTCCCGATGTGCATCCGCACAGACAGCTCTCAGTTAGGCCACACTGATTGCAATGGCATTGACTGCAGACTATTCAATTTAACTCTGATCTCATTTAAGCTGAAGGTGCTCAATTCCAACCTCTTTTGTAGAGGACCTTGACATTGAATTTTCATCCTGGGATCCAATATGGAGCCCTTTTAACCTTCTCCATTTGCTGTGAATACTAATTAAATGGTTTCAGATTATACCGTCCACATGTTTGACAATGTAACAATTTTGGTGCATAAGAAGATGTCCCATAAACAGAAAAGATGATGTTGTGGACCCAAGTCCACAGACATAAGATTGTCAGTTTGTTTGGTTGGTGTAAAATCAGTTTTCCGAAATTTAAAGGGTTAGTTCACCCAAAAATTAAAATTCTGTCAGTAATTACTCACCCTCATGTTGTTCCAACCCCATAAGACTTTCGTTCATCTTTGGAACACAAATTAATATTTTTTTGATGAAATCTGAGAGCTTGATCTTCTGAAGTGAACTGCTTTGGTCAGGGTGTTGTGAACTCACAGTTTGCAGTTTGGTATGAAACATACATACTAACTCACGGAAATTGATTTATGTTTTTAGTCACACCTACTATAGTTTAATGCATTACTCCGCAGCTTTGAATAAATTACCTTCAGAAAGCAGCTAGCATTCTTTGCTTCTCATACGGCAATCAAAAGTCTTTGCCATTCTGTTATTTGGTGGGAAATCCAAGGGAACACATTTTAAAATAACACTTTAAAACGACTGTCTTCTCCAGAGTTGGAACCCATAGATATACTGTATATACATAGATGCCTCATTTGCCTATATTTCTAACTGTGAGTGACTATGCTGACTGTTCCAAGTGGCAGAGGCGCCGATGTGTCTGAAGCGGTCGAATGTGGCATCTACATACATATATGGTTGTTGCCTATAGCTAAAATTAAAATTAAATACATTTTTTTTTAACATTTATGTAACAGGTTCCCTTTCGTTAGGGAACTCCTACGTCTCGTCGGAGGAGTTTCCAATGAATTGGGATCACGCTAGGGAGACCAATTGCCTTCGAGTGAATTAAAACGAGCCAATGAATATTGGCATGCAAGACTTGCATTCCGCGCCCGCCTGCCAGTGCGGGTATGCGGAAGCGAGCGCACACACATATGCTTTTAGCTTCGGAGCCGACCGGTGGTGTCCTCTGAGTGGATGAGCTTCAAAATTAATAATTTATCTTCACGCTCAACAAGTCTGCTGTTTTCTCCGAGACCTCTCTGTGTTGGTGTGACGGCGCTTCAGCGATCTTCGCGATCTCCCGGGGACCAGCTGCTGCTTCACGCGATCTGCTGTTGTTTCAAAGAGCTGTTGTCACGGCTGGTATTCGGTTGAGTGCGCACAGCGGGCTTGCAGTTTCCCCGCTGTGTTGCCGCGTATATCCCTGTGTGCTTCAGCACAATAAGAGAGCGTTTTCTGTGAAAAGAGCAACACGGGTGAAGATCACGTCCTTTTCAGGATGACGTTTCACCCGTGTGTTTCTGGATGCGGTCGTTTCCTGTCCTCATTTGACGACCACGATCACTGTTTCACGTGCCTGGGCTTAAGCATGATGAGACTGCGTTCGTGGGTGGTTTGTTCTCTCATGAGAGCTTGACCACGTCGGCGCGTTGTTCGTCTCCCCTTTCTCATAAGGGCTTGAGCCGCTCAGCGTGCCGTGTGCCGTCGAGCTGCCGGCTGACAGCGCGGGTTGTCACGGCAACCCAGCGCGCGTCATTCAGCGCTCTAGATGTGCGCCTTTGACTGTTTCCCGATCTAGTTCCTCTTCTGGTGGCCAACGGTGGAGGGCTATTTTGCCTAATGGCATTGGTGATTAGAGGATTACAGTGAGCGTTCTCTGACGAGACCATCTCCTCGGAACCCTCACTCCTCTAGCGCATCGCAAACATGCTGAGACTGTGTTCGTGGGTGGTTTATGCTCTCTTACAAGAGCATGACCACGTCGGCACGTTGTTCGCTTGCCTTTCTAAAAACGGGGGGTTGAGCGCTCAGCGTGCCGTGTGCCATCAAAGTATGGCCACGTTCATTGTTTTGCATGCCTGGCAGCTTTCGGGTGGAATCTCTGGTCCTTCTCATGAGGGACCGGCTATTTCATTCAGGGCTCCATGGGAGGACCAGATGTCGATCGCTGCATCGGAGAGAGAGCTGTTACACTCTGGAAATGATGACGCTGAGTTCCCACTGTAATGGTGTGTGTGCTCGTGCTGAATCGGATTCAGACTTGACAGCCACACTTCCCGGGCTACTCTGGGGGCGCAGTGCAACGCGTAATCGCCTTGCCCCGCCCCCGTTCCTGCCAGGATGCGTGTGAAAGAGCTTTTAGCAGTATGGAAGCATGTTGGTGCTGTGGAAAGCCAAGCATGCCAAAATCTGCAGAAAGTTTTTTCCTCTCTCACT